TTTTTTTTTTTTTGTCCGGTACCGGGAATTGAACTCATGACCTTGTGCTTGCCAGGCAGGCGCTGTGCCGCTGAGCTAAATCCCCAGTCCCTATAGCGGTTTATCTTAAACAAGTTGTTTAACCTTCTTCTGCATCTTCTCTCATATTTGCAAAATGACACTTTCATTTTGCCTAATAAAGCCCACTTCTTAGAGTGACTATACAGGTTAAATATCATTTTACCAGTAACATGTCAACTATGAAACACTAGAGGATTCATCTGATCACAGCTGGATCCCTAGTGCCTAGACAGTGCTTTGCATGTGTGACTACCATTATTAATATCTTGGGAAAAGGCACTAGTATTTTTAAGGCTCTTAATTTTTATTGTGAAGCTACTTCCAAAAGAAGTCTTTTGAGAGCTCTCACTTATGGATTTCTGGCAAAATATACCATGTTGTTTTTCCTTGCCATTGTACTATTCTATCTGTCAGTGGGATTATGACAGGTTCCTGACACATTCATGTCTCACCAAGTGTCTGTCAGTCTTAGCTTTGCCTGATCTTGATGATCATGCTTTTATTTATCTGTCTGAAGTTGCTGATTTTGACTCCCAGTTTTCTCTGTTTTGACCTACTGTCTTGGCCCATTAAGGATTACAAACTAAAGCCCATGGTGCCTTCTGTCCCTCTCTTCCCTTGGTATAATGAGCAAGGAAACTTCATGTTCTAGATGGCTAAAAATGAAAAACAAATGGCTGATATTTCCCAGACTTTGTGTGAGCTGATATTTCCTACACTTTGTAAACCACTGAGATGTCAAAGCTTATTTGTTTTAACAGCAGAACCTACCCTAACCTGACTAACTTTCATTTGTTTTTTTTCCTTAAGTATCTATTTTGTGCCACATCTTGTGGTAGGTGCTTATGCATATTTCCTCATTTTACAGTGATCCTGAAAAATAACAATGTATTAGGAATATTTGCATTGTACAGGTAAAGACATTTGAGGCTCAGGGAGGTTAAGTGACTTGCTCAATTCTTGTGGGAGAGTTGAGATTCAAACTAACATTTGCTGATCCAAAGGTAGTGTTTTTAACCACTATCTTTATGGTCTTTAGCCTAGTGTTTCTTAAACTATAAGGCACATTCAGACTTACCTGGCGATCAGATTAAACTTCAGGTTCTGGTTCAGGAGGTCTGGAGCAGGTTCTGAAAATGCACTCTAATAGCTCCTTGGTGATGCTGATATCACAGGCCATGGACAGTATTTTAGGTAGTAAGATGTTAAGCTTTCTTGTTAACTGGTTTGGGTACTTAGCCACCTAACCCCTACCTCCCTTTAGGTTGCCATTGTCACTCCAAAGACAAAGGAGATTTAAGGGTATCTCAGCAGGAGGAGAATAACAAATTGAGGCCTAGAGGGGCTAGGCAGGGTGCTCTGGTCAGATACTTACTGTTGTTCAGTGGCTGGTTCTCTTGTGTTTGATTGGGAACCTTTGGGTCTTCAGTGACTTGGGGTTCCTCGCAGTCCCTGCAGCAGAAGCAGAGGATCTTTGAAGCCAGGTTTTGGTGGGCTGCTGCAGAAGGTAAAAGAATAAGGGCCGTGGGTCCTGGGGTCCAAATCCCACACACCCATTAGAGATTTACTGTGGTGGCAGTTGATTGGGCCCACCTCTCCCAAGTCATGATGCTCCTTCCATTTTCCAAATCATCTGTGGTTCGTCATGACCAAAATATCCAGGATGGTGACTTGTGCCTAAGTCATGCTTTCTTAAAGCCATTTTTTTGGTATTTCGTACAAATTGTCCTTACCCATGAGAAAGACTTGAAGCCTTTTTCTGCAGAGATGCTGTGTTGAATAAGCTGATCTTGAATTTGAGCCAGTTCACTGGGTTCTTTCTTAGATGAACATAAGACTGTGATTTAAAACATGCCGGTACTTGGTGTTCACACAGTAGTTAGGATCCATAACAGCAAGATCCTAGGTCTTGCAGAAATAGAGATATTATGCTTAGATTTTAGATAGATCTGCGTTCTACCTCATTTCTAGGTGCATGTCCTTAGCCTTTCTGAACCTCACTTTTATCATATGGAGAATGGGAATAGGTATCAGTGCCTACCTTGCAGAATGAAAAGGTTAAATAAATGCAAAGTGACTCCTATGGAGGTAGATACACTACAAGTGCTCAGTTAATGGTCATTCCATTTTCTTTTCTTCCCTTCTGTAGCTACTGCGTCCAGGTTATCTCAGGTCCCACGTCCCATAGGGACATGGTAAGGAAGTGCAGCGTTGTGTAGGTTTAAATCCCAGTTTTGGTACTAACTTGCTGAACGGCTTTAGTAAGTCCATGCTTATTGCTGTGTCTTAACTTTCTCCTCAGTGGAAAGAGGAGGTTAGCCAAGATGTCTCATCAAGGATCTTTTAGTATGGACAATCCTACAGTACAGTGCTTTATTTAGTCCGAAACTCCTTTGTGAATCAGATCTCTGGATGCTCCCCATTCTTGCTGTTTTTTGGTGATGAAAGTTTCTTATATGGATTCTTGCCACATTATTGGTTAGTTGTCCCGCATAACATCCAATTCATTTGGCCAAGTGTTTCCCTCAGAGGTAGCTGTTTCTCATTTTTTTTTTTATTTTTATTTTTTTGATTGCAATGCCCTGGTCCAAGTTACCATTATCTCTTGTCCAAATTATTTCAATAGGCTCCTTAATGATTAATACAGAATCTGGGGTAGTTCTGTTAAAAACTGTCATGTCACATAATAAATGCTTAAAATTTTCAGTGACAGGAAAAATTAATAGAGTAGATAGAAAGATAATAGTATTGAAAAAGAAACAAAAACTCTGAAATGGTATAGAATAGAAATTCTAGTTCTAAGAGATCATTATCTGAAAGAAAAATGTATTGAGGGAAGACTGACAACCAACTGGTAGCAGAAGGAGTGATCTGTGAACTTGAAAAAAGCTCAACAGAAATTATCCAAACTAAAGCAGAGAGCGAAAAAAGATTTTTAAAAGGCAGAGGAGAGCAGCAGTGGCCTGAAGGACACTAACATACACATGTAACTGGACTCTCAGAAGACCGAGAAGAGGGAAGAAAATATATCTGAATCAAGAATGGCTGAAAAATTTTCCAAATTTAGTGGAATCATCAACATAAGTACTTGATAAATGCCAAACATGAAAAACATAAAATCATACCCCTGCAAATTATAGTCAAATAACCAAAAATATTAAAGAAAGAAAAAGCTCCAATCTTAAAAGTAACCAGAAAAATAAGGAAAACAGAACAATCAGGACAGCTGATTTTGCATCAAAGACAATGCAAGCTAGAAGACAATTTAACCCACTTATTTTTTTTAAGAATTTTTTTTATTTTAAAGATAAAAAAATGAAAACATCTTAACAAACACATACATTTAGAAAATAGCACAAAAATAATACAAGCAACACAGAATCTCAGACAAGGTGATAGGAAATTAACAGTGGTTGTTATATAACATATTGATATCTTCAATTTAGATACTCAGATAAACAAATATAGACATGTAAGATTGATCATACACTTTAACTGTTCCTTGCAATACAGCAATAAAAGTCAGTAGTACAGCTATGTTATCTATCCTGTATATACATATTTTCCCCCTTCTTTTTTTTCTCTTCTCCCTCATCCCAGTAGTTCTTTCCTTTATGTGTAAAGAAAAAACTTCCCTAAGTTTCCCTAAAGAAAAGACTTCCCTAGAACTCCATATTTAGTGAAAATATCTTCCAATAGCTAAGGTGAAATAAAGACAAATAAATGTGGAGGCAATTTGTCTTGAGAAGGTCTAGGCTATTAAAAAATGCTAAAAGGTTGAAGGTAAATAGTGCCAGAGGGAAATGCATAATGTGCAGTAAGGGATGAAGGGGGTCAGAAATGATAACTATGTATGTGTGTGTGGGGGGAAGGTGGGCAAACACAAAAATTTTTTTCCTTGAACCCCCCTCCCAAACCTTTCAGTGGCTTCCCACATTCCTCAGAAGAAAACCCGACATTCTGATCTGTGTCTCAAGATTCTCTTATCAAACTTTCCTCCTCTCACCACCACCAACTCTGTGCTTTCGATTCCTATTACCTCCCTACTAATTCCTACTAAGCACGGTGTCCTCCTTGGTGATTTTTATTTTATTTTATTTTTTTATAGCAGGAATCAAACTCAGGACCTTGTGCTTGCCGGGCAGATGCTTCCGCCACTGAGCTATAACCCTGGCCTTGGTAATTTTTAAAGCACACTAAACTCTCAGTTCAGGAATTTGTCCTTATTTTACCTTCCCACCTGGAATACTGTTCACTTAGGTAACTTCTAAGTGTCTTTACCTTCAAGGTTTTGCTTAAGTGTGACCTTTTTTCATTAGTGAGACTTTCATCATTTTATCTAAAATTGCACCCTTGACTAGAACTTACTAATTCACTTACTAATTTTCATCATTTTCTAACATTCAATAGAACTTTTTTTTAAAATGCATTTAGAACCTGCTTCCTTTCATTAGACCTTAAGCCGTGTGGGGTCCTGGATGTCATTTGTTTGGTTTATTGCTGCTCTGTTCTCAGTGTCTAGAACGGTAGCATACTGTGGACAGTCAATAGATGTTTGTTGAATGAATGAATGAACTAGAATTTATTTCTCTTTTGTCTTGGAAAGCAATTTCCAGTCCTGGAAGCAATAGTGAATTGGGTAGTATTTTTTTGTTCCAGGAGCATCGCAGTCTTGTGGGCACAACTATACTCACTCCTGTGGTAAGCTGAGTCTGATGGTTTCATGTGTTAATTTTAGTTCTGCTCTGTGTTACTGGTCTGGGCTATTTTCTCCTCCCCGTCCACTGCAAACCAAATCTACTCATCTTATTTTCATGTTCCCCGTTCTGCAGAATGATCCTGTTAGTCACTTGGTCTTCAGAACCAGCCACTCAGCAGCTTCTCATCTTCCCCACACTCGGCAGACTTTTGACTTGTCTTTCCGAGGAGCTCGTCTGTCTGCTGCTGTCCATTGCTGTTTCCCTGACCATCACCTCTCTCCTGGACCTTGGCTCAGACTTCCTCACTGGCTTGTTTGCTTCCACTTAAAGCTGGGATTACGTGGCCAATATGTGTATCTCACTATCTCAGTCCTGAGTCGGATTCTTCAGGGGCTCCCCTGGTCTGTGGATCCACCTCCTTTTCAGCCACATTGACAATAATTTCAGCTTCAACTTCTCTTGGTGTCAGTCACTACCCTATAGCCATAGAAGATGCTGAGCAGGCAGTCCCCTCTCGCCTTTTCACAAAAGGGTCTTGTTCGCACTGTTCCCCATGTTTTGGACATGCTCAGCTCCTTTATTTCTTGAATGTCAAGATTCAGTTTAAGGGTGACAGGAAGCTGCCTCTTCCTCCTGAGGTGAGTTAGGGACCTTTCCCGTTCTCCCACAGCACTCCTCCACCCCACTCACCATGTTTTCCTGTGTCACAACCTGTTATTCTACAGCAACTACCTGCCTTATGGTCAATGCCCCGTAACTACTAATTGTAACTGCCCATTTAGTTGTCAGCCATGTGGGTGGTAGACCATGAGTTCTTTCCATTTATTTTACATACATTTATTAAGCACATACTATGTGCCAGCTACTATTTGGTGTTGGAGATACAGCAACAAATAAGGTACAGGATAGACAAATGCCCCACTCACATGGAGGCAGGGGTAGTGTTTTCTTTCACCCTGGATCCCAGCATGCAGTGCAAGGGTAGACACAGAGCAGGTACTTTGTCGCAAGCCTTCTCAGACTGCTGGATAACAACTATGTGCCTAACAACTCTTTCTCCTTTCTGCTAACTGATCTCTAATGCCCTGTACTTCAGCTATTCCTCATGGTTAGAGCTACTACGCAGGCTGGACACATAAATCTGTACACTGTGTGGGCTCCTTGGCCGGAAGTGGGGAGTGGTGCTTACCAGGTGCCTTTAGCCCAATCTCCAAAGATCTTTCTGAATCCGCTGCCAGGTGAGCTTTTCAACATGATTTGAGCTCTGATGTATTTTATCAAGCCCTCTTTAATGGATCTATTTTCCAGGATTGGTAAATGAATAGAAGCATATAAAGTAAGTAGATCTTGTTTTGGAGATGTACCATTATCCTTACCATTAATGTGTGTAATTCTCTGCTAATTGCTTTAACTTCAGTATTCTTCATCTGCTCACACAAATATTTGTCTCATGGGGTTTTGCTGTGCTCCAGGTTGCCTTCATAAGGAAGGAGTAGGGGTGCAGGTCTGACAAGCCCCACCCCAGCTCGGTACTGAGGACTAACGACTGGAGTCTGCTAGACTGGTGACCCATTCATATACAAGGACGTGTGAAAATTTGACTTGGGTCCTCCAAGCACTTGTGAGCGCGTGTTGTCTTATCACAGACAGAGTCGCTGCATTTAGCTTATATCCTGGAGTCAGCGATTTCCAGGTTGCGTCATGTGGCCTCTTTCAGACTCTGCTTGGGTAAGGGCTTTAAGGCACTGTGCACGAGGGCAAATCTTTGCCCAAGAGTAGTGTGCCCTTTCCTGTTTGTCATGGTCTCCTTTACGTGAACATTGTCACTTCTTCCTGAAAAACCTCCTACTTTGTACATGCACTCCCACTTTATGTATTTTTATGGGCTTATTTGAATAAATGATAACACATCAGTAGATAATTTGGATTTAGCATAGACATTATGACAAACTTTTGTTGTAAAAAATAAAAGATTTAAGAGGCACTCTAGAAAAGAGAAGAAGAAAAAAAACCACAAATACTTAATACAGGGATTCTTTGATTGACGTACTCTGGCCTCAGGAAGTGAAAAAAAAAAAAGAAAGAAAGGTCTTACTCCTACTCACACATCTTGAAACTTATTTTTTTTTTTTTTTTTTGCATCTTTCTCTCTCCACCAAAGTTTTTCTTTACCATCCACTTATAGTCATCCTGTACTTCCCCGTGGCTGCCTAAATACTTTCTTCAGGGGACCTTTTTCTAGAAATTAATCATAATGCACAATAGCCCTGAAGTCTTTGACGCCAGAAGGCAGATCCAGAGAGACTGGATTTAAACCATAACTGAAAGTTAGCTCTCTGCAAATATTTAGACTTCCAAACTTCAGAACAACAGAAAGTTGCTGTGCAGTGCAGGTTTTTGTTAGTTGCTTACTGCTCTGGATTATATTTGCACCCGAAGTTCATTCTGATGTTGACCTTCAGTGATGTGGGAAAAATGTTTAAAGACAGCTGGATAGAAAATACTGGAATGTTTAAATAATCCACTTATGTATAACTTAATAAAAGTCAGACTTGAGAAAGTAGTAAAAATAGGAAATGTCCTGCATTAAAACTATTCTGACAGTCTTTTTCCTAGAGGAAGAAGGGATGATGATGCAGAATTATAAGCAAAAGGAAGATGAATTGGTAGGACATGATAGAATTCTGGACACTTTAGAAGAACATTCTAGGGTAGACCAAGAGCTTAAATAAAGGACACCTCTTCTCCTTCCATTGCAAAGGGTTCAGACCTTTAGAGGACTTAGAATAAATAAATTAGAATGGAAAATATAAATGTAGGTGTCCTAATAATTTTCAGAGTCCTACAATACTAACTAGAGTCACCCCCTGCTCCTACCTGTGGTGTTGGGCATTGAACTCAGGTCCTCATATGAGCTAGGCGAGTGTTTTACCACTGAGCTACACCATATACCTATCTAAAATATCCACTAGAATCAAGATAATCTTCTAGTCTCCTGAATAAAACAAATGGCTCTCAAAACAGGGTCAGATTCCTCTATAAGAATTTGGAGTCTGTGTATAGGGGCACTTATACTTACTATGAGTAGAAAGGTGATTGGAAGAACTGATATTCCATATCAGAAGGACAGCTGTCCACATCTGTCCACATCTGTCCACTGGTGTTTCTCTGAGGAGATCTTAGCACTCAGCACTTTCATGTTTCTCTTCCAAACTGCTGATGGAAATCATCTATAATGGGAATGAGCGGCAGTACTGCTTGTGGCTTGTCCTTATGTGGAAACCAGACTCTTCCATGCCAGATGGGACTAAGGCTAATTGTTCTGCGTGACAAATACACCATCCAGGTGGATGACTCCCAACCCCTCGAGTGGACTGTCTTCTCACACAGAGTCTCAAGGAGTAGAGCTCTTCTTGGGGCTGTAGCTACTGACAGGTGGAACAGGCTGCTGAGGGTTGTAAGTTGGACCATCAAGATGTTCACTTTTCTTAACACTGGCTGACATAGTCAGTAACACAGCCCAGCCTCTGGGGTACAACCAAAATGTTTACCTCAAGTAATTATGGATGGTGGAATACTGTTGTATTTTATTTTGGCTAATCAGGTGTAGCCTGTGCCATTCCTAACACTCTGCCCCCTGGATTTATGGCCGGATGAGGTTAATCTGTGTCTCAGCCAAAGAAGTAGGCAGCCTCTCTCTCTCTCTCAGATAAATGGCCGTGTCTCAGAAATCATGGGTGGTGATTCTGGAGATCCCTGTGGATCCTTCTTAAAATATGCCAGTCACTGTAGCTTATCTTCTATTACGCTGCATGTGTTGTCCAGAGAGTCAAAAGCTTTTAGGCAGTCTCTGATGCAATGGGTAGCACAAAAGTGATTCAAAGACAAAAATGCAGAGGAGCCAGGCTGGATGACAAACTGCAGACTGGATCTCTGTGGATGGCAAAATGCAAGTGTGTTTTTTCCAAGCAAGGCTGAGACAGTGGCCAAGATCTGGACAACCCTGGAGGATCGTTCCCACAGCTGAGGTGGAGGAAGGACCAAGAGATGGAGACGGAGCGTAAACTGTGATGTGCCCACACTCCTAGGTAAAAACTGACTGCCCTGTAACCATGGTGACAAGTAATCCCCAGAACCTGTGCCAAACCTGTGGCACCTATAAATGAAACTTTGCCACAATCACCAATCTCCTGAAAGTGAGAGATGCTTTCCGGTAGTTAAACTTTGCAATGGACTTTTGGTCTGGAACCCCACCAGTTTGGGAACCTAACACCTGCCCAAGCCTCTTACGGGTCAGCCATTGTCTTTGTTCAGGGAGACTGCCACATGAGCGTGGTTCTTCCTTGTTGAACCAGAAATAAATTTCCCTTTGTTTCACATACTGAATGAAAATTTCTTCCTTTAAAGCAGCTTATCTATGTAGAAAAAATACGAATATTTACCCCCATGCCTTTTACATACACATAATAGGTTACTGCATACTATGTTTTACACCTTGCTTTTTTAGTTTAAAAATAGTCCTTGGAGATCGTTGCACCTGAGCAGTGCCACAGGGACGGGAAGTGGAGGTTTCTCTGAATCCAGGGCTCAGGCTCTCTGCACGTCTTTACCAGGCGGTGTCGCAGGAAGGACAGGGGAGTAGAGCTACCTTCTTCGAGTGCGCGCAGCAGAGGACTTTGAACTTTCGAACCCTCCTGAGACGTAGGAAGACTCTTAGGGAGAGCCCGGAAGCAGTGACAAGCGCTTTGGGGTGTACTTCTTGAAGATCGACTTCTTGGAAGAGCAATTTAGAAGAATTTAACCTTTCTGAACCTCAGTTTTCTGATTATGAGATTAGAAAATAAGAGCACCTACGGTAGAAGGGCTGGTGAGGATCGAATTGCTAATCATGGAAAAAGGCTTAATAAGTGTAAATGCTGATGGTGGAGATGTAGGGGAGATGCTGAGGGGACGGGGAGCGTTGCACTTCCAGTGCCCTCCTCTAGATGGAAGCGGGAGCCAAAGAAAAGGCCCTTGAGTTCTTTCCCAATGGGCTGTGAGCTTCAGGACCCCAGTGAGGCCGCACCCCTCTGATCAGAACAAGCCAGGTCAATGAGGTTAGGCAGGAGGGGTTTCTCGGGCTGGAGAGGGCTTTGGGTCATTCATCACAGGTCAGGGGACCAGAGCGAGAAACAGTGAGGTCATGAGGGGTGTCTGTTTCTAGTGAAGTGAACGGACATCCGTTGTCCCTTTTAGTACAGAAAGGTTCTCCTCCCACTCCCGGCTCTGACCTCTGAGCCTCACTCACCTGCAGCTGGCGGAGTAGACAGGAGGCTGTGTGTGACGTCACAGAACTGGGAAGCAGGGAATGACGTGGACAGGGGGAGGGTAGTCTAGACTGGGCCACAAAAGCGGGACAAAGAGTGTGTGCCGACCCTCTCCCCAGTGCTCTGCCCCTGTCCACGATGCCAGGCTGTCCGCCGTGCTGTTCAGTGGGGGCAGCCGCGCAAGCCCTGGTGCCTCTTGAGGGTGCCAGGCCAGAAGGAGGCAGCACAGCACCGGGTGCAGAAATCTGGCCACAGTCTGTTTCCTGTACCCGCTGGGTGCCACTCTCAGGCAAAGGGACTCTGCTTTGATTTCTTCCTCTGCAAAATGGGAATAATAATAGCGATGAGTCCCCTATGTGTCCTGAGGAGTACATGAGAACAGGTCGGAAAACACTGAGCATGGGGCCTTGGCATAGTGAGGACTACGCGGAAGGGACAGTATTAATTTTCTGTGCAAAAATACAGGGACTTTTCTTTCTAACTTTCAGAAAAAGGGGAATTGCTTTCTAGTGGAGTCCTGACAAAGTCTCTCGCCCTACAGGGCACTCTTTCAATTCCTTTATTTAGGACAGCTTGGTACTATTTCGGGAAGTCAAATTAGGTGAAATTGTTCCCTAACAGTGCTATCTTTGGATGTTTATGGAGGCCACTGGATACAGCAGAAACAGAAGAAAACAGAAGCAGCACAGTTTCGGAGTCTGTCAACATGATTTTATCACCACAAACACTACATGGTTAAACACAACTTTTAAAAGCTCACTAGTAAAGCATCACCCTTGAGTGGCAACACGGAAGATTCTCAGTTCTGGCTGCGTAAAGAGTTATTCAAACTAAGACTGCCTGGGGCCTAACCCCAGGGAAATTAGCCTTTCAGGGTGAGGCTACAACCTGGGTCATGGTACATGTGTCTTCAAAGCTTTCCAAGTGATTCTTGTATGTAATCAAGAACTTTTAACTTACAGTGTGGGAGTCACTCATTGTATCCTGAAGTGGTGGCTCACACAGCCAGGCTGTACATTAAAAGCGCTGGAAGAGCTTCAGAAAATAGCAGTCCTGGGCCAGGGCTGCAGCCCAGTGGTAGAGCGCTCAGCTACCATGCACAAGGCCCTGGTCTGTAGCACCACAAAAACAACAAACAAGCAAACAACCCACAAAAAACCAGTCCAAACACCCAGGTCAAGTAAAATCATTTGTTTTTGGTGGTGGGGAGGTGAGACAGAGTCGGGAGACTTAAAAACTCTCCAGCCAGCATTGAGAGTTATTGATTTACAAAGCAAATTTTAAAAAAATCCTGTTGTCTTAATATTGTATGAATTGGCCCTTCTAGCTTGGAGTGAGCTTTTAATGAACAGTATTTTGCATGGACTCAAAAGCCTTACTCTTCAAATGACTTCAAAATGAAGACAATATACTCTGGAAATCTTCATTTGATAAAAACTATGAACACAGATATTAAAGATGGATGTGAAGCATTTGAATTAAATTATTTTAGAACACTAGAGAGTGAGGGTAGTAATAGCTCTATTATTTTTATATTATGTCATCGTAAGCACATAGCACATGAATCCTTGTAAGTCAGTGCTTGCCAGTTTTACCCATAATATTGAACACTTAAATATCCAAGCTTGTGGAAGTACTTAAAAATGTTTGCCTGAGGAAGCTGGGGACTGCCTTACATTTAGGGTGCTTTACCATGCAAGTGTGTATGGTGTGGCTGCTTCCTTCCCCTTGGGTCTGGGACAGCAGAGGAGTCAGCAAGCTTTTGTACTGATTTCTGGTTCAAGTGAAGATAATGTCACCTCAAACTAAGGTGATTTCTGAGGCTGGTGATTTCAAAATGCATGGACTTTTAAGTCAAAATGCTGGGTGGGAAGCTACCATCCTAATTTACTGTGTGACAGCCACAGCCATCAGCCTTTCAAATCCTCAGTTTTCTTATCTTTACAATGGGAAGAACAAGAATTGATATCTGGACGAAATTAGATCAGCCACGGAAGCTGTAAAGGTAGTGCCTGGTAGAAAGAACTCTTTCAATGTTGCTCAGATTACTACTGTATTACTATTTGTTGTTGAAAATAAAGGATGAGGAGGAGCCCGGGCTGATGTCTAAGTCTAAGTTCCACATCTGTGGCTGTGAAATTAAGGAATTCAGAAAGAGGATAAATTCAGGTAAGGATAAATTTAGGATTTTCAAAAACTTTATTTTGTAACAATCACAAATTCACAGGAAGTGGCAAAGAAACGAACAGAGAGGGATCCATGGAACCTTCACACAGCCTCCCCCGTGTCACCTTGTATTACACCTTGTGCATTATAATATGAGATCAAAACCAGGAAAGTAATTATGCAATCCACAGACTTTATTCAAAGCTCACCAGTTACACATGTCTTCATTTGTGTGTGTATGTGTGTGGGTGGGCATGTGCAGCTGTGTACAATCCCATCATCTGTGTACCTTCATGTTTACCTCCAAAATCAAGAGAATGACTTGCACCATCACCCCAAGTTTCCTTTGTGTACCTCCTAAAAGTCACACCCACCCCTCTCCCTACCATTTCTAAACCCTACAAACTACTCATATGTTCTCCATTTCCATAATTATGTCATTTCATGAATGTTACATAAATGGAAACACATACTGTGTATGTATCTTTTGAGACTGGCTTCTCTCACTGACATAATTTCCTTGAATTTTATTCTACTTATAGTGTGTATTAATAGTGAACTCCTTTTGATTGCTAAACCCTGGTATGAATGAGCCATAGATGCTTTGATTATTTTGCCCATTAAAGATGTTTGGATGGTTTCCAGTTTTGGGTTATCACGAACAAAGCTACTATGCTGTGAACATTTGTGTACTAGTTTCCACATGGAAACAAGTTTTCATTTCTGTGACATAAATGCTCAGTTTATCCTACAATTGCTGAATTGTGTGGCAAATCCATTTTTTTGTTTTGAAAGAAACTGCTACCTTACTTTCCAGAGGAATCGTGCCATCTTACATTCCCACCATCAACGCTTGAGTGATCCTGCTCCTCTCTACTCTCTCCAGAATTTTCTTCATTATATTTTATTGAAGCCATTCTAAGAGACGTGTTCCAGCATCTCACGGTGATTGTAATGTGCATTTCCCTGCTGGCTAATCGTGTTGAACATCATGCGCTTATTAGCCATCCTCTTTGGTGAGATGTCTCTTCTTGTCTGTTGTCTGTTTTCTAATTGAACTGATTTTTAAATTTAGTTTTTAAAACAGTAGCTTGATTGAGATAGAATTTATATATCATAGATTGCACATTTTAAATTTTTTTTGGCTTTTCTCCGGTACGGGGAATCAAACTCATGACCTTGCGCTTGCCAGGCAGGCGCTGTGCCGCTGAGCTAAATCCCCAGCCCCGATTGCACATTTTTTAAAGTGTACAATTCAGTAGTTTTTAGTATAGTCACACAGTTGTGCAACCATCCCTGCTACCTACACTCTGAATATGTTTTGTTGCCCCCGAAGGAAACTCCATACTCATAGCAGTCATTTCCATTTACCCTTCTTTCCAGCTTGTAGCGACTAGTGACCTACTTCCTGCTCGTGCCGGACATTTCTTATAAGTTTATTCATACAGTGGGTGGCCTTTTGCGTCTGGCTTGAAGCTTTGTAGTTGCATCCATGTTGTAACAGGTAGCAGCTCTTCATTTTTTTTATTGTCAGGGAATACATACTCCATTCTTTTCTCTGGCTGTATCACATTTGGTGTATCGATGGACATTTCTACTGTTTCCACTTTTTGGCTCTGTGAATAACGCTGCCGTGAATATCTACGTGCATGTTTTGGTGTGGACATGTGTTTTCATTTCTCTTGGTTATACACCTTCAAGTGAGATTGCTGAGTCATGTAGTGATTCCATGTTCAGCATTTTGAGAAACTGCCAGTCACTTTCTGAAGTGGCCACACCAT